CGTTAGATCTCACAGAAAAACCACTAAAAATAATATCCTCCACTTATCTTCAAATTTAAAACCAGAGGTCAAAGTGCACTGCCATACGAGATCCGCTTAACTAACCTTAATCTCTATCCTCTGAGTTATAGGCAGTTGCGCGGAGACATGATACAAACTTTCCGTATCGTGCGCGGCTTGAATTGTGCCCTTCGGTGCGATGACTTTTTCCAACTCGCCACTACAACTCACCTCCGGGGACATCCCTTCAAGCTACGTGTGCCACAGGGCAGACTGAATGTGAGAAAATATTTCTTCTCCAACCGTGTCGTGGAACCGTGGAATAACCTGTCCGAGACGGTTGTTATGTCTCAATCTTTGGAGACATTTAAATGTCGCCTTGACAGATATATGCTGCAGCAACAAGCGGACTATGTGACTTTTTAACCATGTGACTAGTGACATATGTGAATCAATGTATGCATTCACTTAATGCTGTAATTTCTTCACATTTTTGCTTGTTTATCGATTTTTTATGTACAAATAGGGAGTTCAAAGGCGTAAGGCTATTTCCCTCAAATACACTGACTGACTGACTGATTAATAATTTTCTTACGGGGGACAAAACGAGAAATAAGCGGATCCAAAATTTCGTACAGATTTGCAGTGCAAACATTTACATCCGAAGTAAGGAAGAAATCAGTCCAGTCGTAGGAATTAAGGTGTGTTAATAATTCGGTTGAGCGAGTTGATCGGAAATCGCGGAAAAAAGTTATACTTTGTGGACGACGTTTTGTCAGCCTCGAATTCCAACGTTGAAACAACTATGTCATGGTCTGAGCCCCTGACTGGGCCTAGGGATGACACCGACGATGGCATGCAGCCTCTACAGAAAATTAGGTCATGTATGCTTGAGCCTCGGGTGGGAAAATCGACAACCTGATGCCACATCCCAACATCTACAGCCTCAAGAATGTCTTCGAACCTTCTTGGGCCTGAAGGCGGAGACCAGCGGACTTCGGGAATATTAAAGTCACCCGCAACCAATTGATACTTAAAGCTTGAGTCGGCCGCAGCATGAAATGCCTGTGAGAGTAAGCGATCAAAATTGTCGTTGGCGTTGGGAGGACGATAGACGCAGCCAACGAGTAAGGAGAACTTATTTTTTAGTGCAACCTGGAGCCAGCAGCTGCCTTCTACTGCGGAAAAATGCGGGAGGTCCAACGGCAAAAATGTAAGTGTTTGCTTAACGTAGACGCAGCAGCCCCCACCACGGCTATCTTGGCGATCATTTCGGATGTAATTAAAGCCTAGAAGCGAGAGTTCGGAGTCAGCTACGGAGGCTGATGCCCACGTCTCAGTTACTAAAACAATATCTGGACAATGGACGAACACCAGATTCTGAAGCAAAGGCATCTTATTAAGCAAGGATCTGGCATTTAAAACAAAAAGTTTGAAGGGAGAGGCTGTTTGTTTCTGAGGGAAGTGGGCTACATCGTCCAGTTCTGGGCTGCCCACGGAGCAAATGGTCCGGATGCAACCATCCGGTTTTGCAAAAAATTTTGTGGCATCAAAAAATTCTGACGTGGATAAAAAGGGGTAGGATTTGGAGGAGGGAATGACGGGCAGGTGAACTGGTAACCATTGTAAGCTAACTTATTTTCAGCTGAAATCCGCTGGCCACATACTGCAACGTATTCCCGCCGGAACGAAACTGAGGATAGGATGAACTAACTGATTCAGTATGGACATTATCATGAGGACTAAATTGGTAAAACGGCCGTGGAGGAAACAAGTTAGGGGGTGGGAGACGCATTGTTTCTATTGGAGCAAGAGTTTTATTAAACGGCGGAAAAATCGGCATATTCGGCCTAAATGCCTTGATATGAGGGCTGGGGGGCAGTTGCGAACCCGCTACGTTTTGAGTCGGGGTATTTGAGGCACAGTTAGCCGATTGTGGAGGAAAAGATTTTATAATGGTGCTGGATTTATTGGGTGTCCGAGTGGCTGAGACAGCAATTGGATTTGCCTTTGACTTAGAAACATGCTTAGGCTTAATAGGGGTTGCTGGGGGAGTCGATAGAGGCGTGTTTATACGAGGCGTGATGGTGTGTTTAAAGAGCTCAGCATTAAAAGTAGTCGAACTCCCTACGGAATTGACTATGCCGTGATGTACAGATGCCGCTGATGGTGTTGTAGAGGACTTATTCAGACTGACAGTAGGTGTCATTATCTTGGTGTTGGTTTTTGCCGATTTTAGTTTATTCAGTCTCCGCTGCAGGGGTGTGAGGTCTGGCGAAACGGAGCAGCGCCTTTTACGGCAGAAGTCTCTAGTTATCTCCCTACTCGACAGGATAAAATCAACTTCTATCATGGAGAAAAGGGTAACTAGTATCGGCGCATTACGGCTAAGCGAGCGAAGTCGCTTAGCTTGTGCGACACTGAAACTCAAACCACAACTTTGTAGGAACAAATGCGCTCCCTCCATAGCAGATAAGTGGCTCGGAATGTTTCGCAGTACGAAATTATGCTTGCGCTTAATTCTTTCCTCAGTTTCCGAACTTATTACCCCAATAAGTTTAAAAGCTTGTTCAATTACTTTTTCAGAAGTGCTGTTTATATCGCCATAAATCAACTGGTCGACTATTTCGCCGGCCGATGGCTTGCTACGACTAGCAGAGGCGTATTTTTGGACGACTGAAGCGTCAAGAGGTTCTACATGTACTAAAGGGATTTGTGAGTTAATCAGATCTGCGGACGGCGAAGAACATACGCTGGCACCTGCTATGTCTTCAGTCACGATTTTAGCACTCAGAGACGGTGGGGAGGCCGCAAGCTTTCGCCGTTTAGCACGTGCTCTGCGGGGCATTACAAACAGGAAAAGTTTTTCGTTACAGAAGAAGGGTCAACACGTTGCCAACGTACGGAAAATCGCACTTAATAGCAAGTGCTACTGTTATTTAACTACGAAAAATAGAAAGAGATAGTAGGGAAAGGAGTCACTACAAAGCGTTTTTACAAAATACGACTATTTTGCAAGTCTGACAAATAAAACGGGGAAAAATTATATCTTGTATTGAAAGGCGACTTTTAAAAGGGTCTCAAGTAAAAAACAGGCATAAGTTGCTTAAGAATATCCAGATAAATACAAAGCTCCACTTATCTTTGAAAATGAGCTGCGCGGCGCCATGCCATCACGGAGCTGAATAACCAGCCAAGTGGATTGCTCGGGACAGCCGAATTTCTGCATGATTTTCCAATCCTTCGCGATTCACCGTGCCGAAGGTTTTCGCCAGATCCACGAAGGTAGAGCATAGGCGGATCCGCATCTATTGGCACTTCTTCTGAAGTTGGCTGGTGGCGAAGACTATGTCTATGGTCCCACGATGGCGGCGGAAGACCTTGTTCTAGGTGGTTGTTGAGACGGTTGAGAAGGACGCGAGCAAAGATTTTCCCGACGATATTCAACAGGGAGATATCTCGGTGATTGTCGCAGAGCTGGTGGTTTCCTTTCCGCTTGTATAGATGCACGATTGTGGCCTCTTTGAAATCCTGTGGGACCCCTCCTTGACGCCACATCTCCTGGAAGAGCGCAGCCAGATGATCCATGAGTTGGGGGCCACAGTACTTGTAGATCTCAACAGCTATCGCTTCCGATCTGGGCGCTTTCCCGCTGGAGAGCTGCTGCACGGTCCTGATGGTTTCGTGGAGAGAGGGCGGGAGTATGAGGTCGACGTTGGTCTCCGCTTGCGACAGACGGGCGATTGCGGCATCGGATATGGTGGAGGGACGGTTGAGGACGCCTCGGAAGTGCTCGGTCCATCGTTGTTGAATTTGTCTTCTGGGTGAATAGGGTACTTCTGTCGGTGCTGAGGAGGAGAGCAGTGCCTTTGGTCGGTGGACCGTAGACAGTTTGGGTCGCGGAGAAGAATACCTTCCATTCGTTGCGGTCCGCGTACTCTTTTGTCACCCATAGTAGGGTCATGCACATTTGCCTTCCACATGCAAGCAAGATCTCTTTGAGATTGCGTTAAGTTATGATGGGCGACTTCATTTGCTAAGTGGCTATTTACTGAGCACAAAGTAAAGCTTTTTTCCAAACGGAATTCAGTATAAAATGTCAATTGGAAGCAAAGAACGACTTAGCCTTCGCAGACAGGTTCTAAGTAGTGTTCGTTTTCTGCCGGTTTTCGAGCACTTCGTCGACGGAAGATTAACTTCGGAAGCACGATGAAGCCGGTATTTGTAGGAATCCGAACTAAACCGAGCTAGATGCCTTGTTGAACTCCGGACTGTGGTTTCCTGAGAGCCTCTGTTGAGGATGAAGAAATCGCCGGTAATAGGATCCGTGAAAGCTGAGGTTTCTTGCACTTTTAAACTGATTTCTCGATTTATTTCAACAAGGCGTAACTCTGGGCAGAGGCGGGTGATCGAAATGTCAAAACTTGGGAAGACGAGAGAATGCCAGTCGAATTCATCTGAATATGGCCAGTCGTTTTTGAGTAAAACTTCACATCACCGAAGACAGTGGTAAACTTTATTAATTCAAACACTACGTTTACGAAAGCGGCTCACGGTATTTTAGTTAGTACTCACTCAATAATTTATCAAATTAGTAAAAATAGGAAAGTTTCGGAAACTCACGTTCAGTATGTACTAGCAAAAGATAGCAAAATGGAAAATCAGCAGCGAGACAGCAAGGAGTTAATCCACCTGTATTCCTCAAAAAGGAGAAGCAGTTTCATAAACAACATAGGATGCTAACACCGTTAGTGCGGTGTCCAACCACTGTGAGAGCAGTTGTGTAACTTTCGAAACTCTACCAACCTAGACGAATTACGATGCGTTGCTTATCATTACTTCTGTATGATGATTCCTGCTCTACCGACAGGACTATCTTAAAGAAGTAAATTCGTCATACCCGAACTATATACTGGTCAAGTCCTCGAAAAAAATTGGCAAACGAACTCTCCAAATCCCTAGCACACAACTTCCCTTCGTCATTCGAATGAGGGAGGCTGCCATCCGAACGGAGGACAGCAAATTTCTACCCGGTGTACAAGAGTGGGCCTCGCACTAGTGCCACCAATTACAGTTCCGTTAGTCTCACTTGCATTTGCTGCAAAATAATGGGTAACCCCTTTCAAATGTTGAGGAACAGAAAGGCCCTGGCGTCCTAGTGACCTCCCCTAAACCATTGCCAGTGTCAAATGGTAGCAAAATGCGCGATACGGGTGTCATTTGTGCTGAAGCGAGTATTTTAACAGATCACTGAGGAGCTGTTCAAGGGAACCTTCGGGAGTTCATTCATTATTATTAAGAGCATGTCGTCCAGGCATGGCGATCGTGGTTAAAGAAGAATTATCAACAACAGGAAAGAGTACAGGCGATGTCTACGAAGATGGTCAAGAACCTTGGTCATCTGCTTAAGAAACCAGACTGGCTGAACTAAATCGGTTTCTTCTCAATTACGGGCAACTACGCGGTGATTTCATTTAGACCCACTGGATTGTCAGGGGTCGTCAGTGTTCCCTAGACTCTGACGACCATTTCGAATTGGCTGGGACGGACAATATGCGTGGTCACCTCTTTAAACTGCAGAAGAGGTTAGCCTACACGGACGTCTGGCGGAACGCCTTCTCGAAGGGGGCCACCAGAGCATGGAACAGACTCCCTGGCGTAGTGGTTCTTTCTGAAACTATTGCACACTTTAAATGCAGACTAGGCGCTTATCTGCTTAGAAACTACTGCACATTAATCACGATTGTGTCAGTGGCGGCAGCCTTTGCCTAGCTTATGTACACGGACAACTTTTGGATATCCAGAATTACTAATGTAATAACTGACTCAAATGCCGTATTTCATATGAATAGGGGACTCAGGAGAGAAAACCTCACTCCCATAGTTACCCGACTTAAATATTCATTTAGGAAAGCACCAGCGACGTTCCTTTTGAATCATATTTGAGAGAGAAGCTTGATATGAAAATGGTACCTGTTTTTAAATCTAGAATGTTGAATACTGATCACCACTTTACTCTAGAAGACATACTTCGGGTCCTCTCCTGCAAGACTTTGAATAAAGTAATTAATTCACTTTTCTTTGCGAAATCATTTTAAAAAGTCACTGACTGTATCGATAAATGAATAAAGTTTAACAGTATACACAGATGGAATATTTGAAAGAAATTTCCGACATTTTACGTGATTTGAAAAAGGTAAAAGAAGAATTTGGGCTGAAGATGAACGGCGTAGAAGTTTTTACTCAATCGGTAAGCTTTTAATAATTTTACATTTTATTTTGCTAACTATATATTGTTAACAAAGCATGATAAACTGTGCTTTCAGGTATGCGTCGCGATAGTTTAAAGAGATAACTGCTTTTTACATGTAGGCATTTTGATTTTAAAACAGAAGAACTGCAAATGGGCATTGAAGATTAACAATAACAATAGCAAATTTGCAATTTGCTATTAATATTTGCGCTTAAAGTAAATAGATACGATCAAGCACCCGATAGCATCATTTGAGTTTCCAATGTAACCTCTTTGTGTGCGAAATTATTCTCTGCTAAACGATTCGAAGTGGTGATTGATAACGTGCGTATATACCAAGTTTTTGTGAATTTTATTTAAATTTGGTCTTATAACATCTATGGGGAACATGTGATTGGTTGCTAATTGAGGATTTTAGACAAACATGACAGCTTGAGTACCAGACTATGCACAGGCGAGTACCAATGGTACTGTACATATAAACCTGTTCGACTACACAGGAGTGTGGCCGCCAACTTGCTGGACTTATTGTTAAATCATATCATCTTTCGGTTATTAGATGGGCTCCTATTTGTACTAGAGGCGCAATGTCTGCTGATCAAATGGTAATCCTTAGTTAGACGAGTAGGCTACAGACTCCAAATCCAACAACGCTATGATGCTGATTTTTAATAGACCAAATTCCAGACTAACTTTTGATGATCGTATTGGGGTGCCCGAATTTGTCTAGGTTCACGACATTGGATAAGTCTCCGCACATTTAAGAAAATACGCTATGGTGTGGATTCAGATAAGGAAGTCCTAAAGATGAGCTGGGATAAAGGTCATGAATTATATCGAGAATCCAATAAAGCAAACGTGCCCGAGGACAAGAGGAGAGAAAGCCCTGTCTACGCAATTCTTAAAATAATTTACATACAAATACTGTGGATCAGGATGAAACGACAGAGCCACGATATACTATTTTCTATAAAAATGTACAAGCAAATGTGTCATCGGTTTGAATGACCTACCAACATTCCTGAACTATGACTTGAAACCTGTACTTGGAAATTGCAGCCCATATAAAACACTTTTGTCCTATCTCCTCGCCCGACCTGCATGCAGCCGTGAAACATGTACGATGGGGGTTTAGTGATTGACTTGGGGATAAATAAGATGTTTTTGTTGTTAGAAAGTTATTTCCCACTTTTAAAGAATACGGAAGAAGCACATTAAACACCATGGCAGCACAAAAGAAATCTGGTATACTAGACATTTCGCCCTGTAATGTTTAACCTGGAGGGTTAAGTTGTCCGTAAAATCGGCTTCAATTATGCTCGTTGCTCCAGTACAAGATTTATGAACAGGCACTCCCCCCTTACGGGTTTGAGCTGCATAAACCACTTATGCATCCGATAGTGACGGGTTTTTGGTCAGGTGCGCTTGTAAACTCTCTGCCCGCTAGTTTTGTCATGAAATGTCAATCAGCGCAACGACCAATGCCCCGGAGATAATCACCACGTTTTTATACATTGAACTCAGCCCCTGCCCTATCTCGGTCCCCGAACTCTTCATTTCTCGTCATAAAAAAACGCATCCGACAAGTACACCCTGGAAAGTTAATTTAAGCCACTGAGTTACTCACACTTTCTCTGCTTTATTGTACTTTTAAGGATAGCTTTAGTCCATATTCGTGTGATATGATAAGAATCTTTGCTGACCAGCAAGTGTGCCCATGAAACTGACAATGTAGGGCAGAATTCATCTTTAAAACGCAATGCTTCGTGATAGTCAATAACTATGAAACATTCTAAACGATATTTTTGGCATCTGTGTACAAAGTCCAAGACACACAAAAAGGTGCGCTTTCCGAATCTGTAGAGGCAGTCGATGCATGAACCGCATATGGACTTAAAACACATGGCTTTTAACTCGTGGGCACATGAACTGGGCCTCAGTCGTTCAGTTACACGCCTCAACTTACAGTATTCCCATGAAGTAAAATTGCTGTTCTCTCTTAAACGGAGTCTTTTGAGGGATGTGCGCGAAACCCATAATATTTAAATGCTGTTTCATCGTCGAAAATAAATAAATAAATAATTGAATCTACCAAATAGGGGTGCGTCCGGGTAGTACCAACTAGTCACTGTTTTCTTCTTCAGGGACAGTTTTGTTTGGAGAACGAATTCTGGAGTTCGTTTTGTATCGAAGACAGATCATCTGCTCTATGGGGTGGTATAGGCTGTTGATTTCAGCAGGAGACGAGTCCCGCTTACTGTTTGACCAGGCAGTGAACAATCTTACTGACATGCCAACGACTAGAGGCTAAGCATGGTAGTCGCATGGGTTTGCTGGGACAAGCGTGGTGACGAAAAGGATCAGAAAAGTGTTCAGTTGAAGCGGAATGTTATCGGAATTTTATCCGATCGAAAACAATGCAGAAAATTTCACCGAACAGTTTTTCTTTCCTGCCCAAATTCAGTGAGCCTCTTTGTGATCTTAATGCTGGAGTCCGAGCCTGGATTCTTTCGTCCTTGAGTATTAGCAGTCCGCCATTCCATACTTGGGCCACGACACGCTATCCTGTCGGTTGTGATAAAGATTACTACCTATATTGGAGGGACATTCATAGACCAATTTTGTATGTGTTCGCCTCGTTGTGCCATGGAGCCTTATCTGGAGATCTCTCAGGCAGTCACACAGCGACTAGTAATGTACTCAGTCTCAGT